TACTTTGATCCATCTCTATCCTTGTAGTGAGAGCTATCTTGAGACAATAGCCTATTTTATTTGAACCTAGAACTAGGTTCATATCACTTAGCATAGTCACGACTGAAGACAGTAATGTGGGGATTCGAATTTGATCAAAAACATGAATGGAAAGGTCCAAGATGATGAAAGGTGTAAATTGGATCCCTTGTACATGCGCGCATGAAGACTGGGGTTCGATCGGTAAGCTTATTGTGCGACTCGCGATTTATCTCTGTAATGGCTCTAGGAGCAGGTCCTATGAATTTAGAATTAGTCCAACGAAGCGGGTATCACCTAAGCATTTAAAAAAAAAAAAGTTGCTATAGGTAAACGTGTAAATATTCAAGTGGAGTCAAATGTATGCATTATCACAGGTAGTTAGCTGTTAGCATGATTAATATAATCATGAAAATTTTATATATCCAGCCAGGTATTAGTTCAAAATCATAAACAAATCAAGTTAATCTTAAATATGGTTTCGTATAAATAGAAGTCAGAAAGAAAATCCGAAGATAATATGAAGATATAGTTGCCCACGTCCCACGTCCCACGTTGTGGGCATTCTTGAAACTAAACCTAGCTTAGCTTTGATTAATTTATTTTTAATGTTTGAGCATTGACTAAAGGAACAATCGAGAAACAAAATAAAATACGTACTCCAAAATTATATTTGCAGGTGTAGATCACACCTATCTTCAAATAATTAAATTATTATATATAAAGAAAATGATCATTTTAATCACTCAATTATATTAGAATATAGTCAAAGTCTCTTAATTATATATATATATATATATATATATATATATATATATATATATATATATATATATATATATATATATATATATATATATGCAATAACTCCATTTAGTCCTTAAATTGTTTACTTGGAGACTATTTTACTCGCTCACCTCAAATAGTTGTTCAAATTAATGATGATGGAAGAGTAAATATGTAAACTCATCAGATTCCTTTCAAAACACACATCAAATAAGTAAAAACAATTTTATGCATCAAGTAGTAACCTTTTTTTTTTTTTTTTTCTCTATAAATTCATTTAAATACTCATTAACGAATAAAAATAATCTTATAACTAAATATTTTGAAAATGATTAAGGGAAGTTAAGAAATGACCAGTAATAAAGTGAAAAAAAAATACAATACTCTTAAATCAACTATATTTTTATTCCCTTCAACCAAATGTATATGTGTGAAAATTTTAGTAGAAAATTTGTTGAATGGCCGAATCAAAGAAATTTCAGTTAACCGTTCTTTAATCGATATAATTTGGTTCGATTAATGGTTAGACATTTTACATAATTTCAATTAAGCCATCTAACTCTAAAAAGCTACAATCAGATCCCTGAACAATGCAAATTCAAGCAATTGAACCTAAAGTGACATGTTGACCAGGTAATTAGATGACGTGACGGTTACCAAATTAATTTTTATTTTAAAAAATTATTTTAATAATTTTTAAACAAAAAAAAAAAAAAAAAAGAAAAAGAAACTGCCGGCGACACCTTCCCCTTCCCCTTCCCTCGTCTCCGCCACAAGTGAATGTTCTCAAATCTGAGTCTAAGTTGCTCAAATGTGTAGAATAACATACATTTCATGTTATCTTTTCATGTACCATCCTTTAATTGAGCTCTTTTACTCCCATTAATTTTCTAGTAAAAGAAACAATCTTTACCAAAAACACAAATTCTAAGCAGAAACTATTACTTAAAGCCTCAACCTCTGCCCATTAACATTTCATCCACAAACCTCATTTTTTTTAAAAGAAAGTTCCACAAACCTCATTTTTGGTAAGACTTCTTCCATTCTCATTCCATTAAGATGCCTGGGTATTGAAGGGTTCTTTAAGTTTTTCATTTCATCTCTTTATTTTGGGTTTTGTTGAAAATGGTATTGAAGCTGATGAGGAGCTAGGATGAGCCTACTTTAGGAAGACCTTGCTTTGCGATTTTGATATTTGAGGTAAAACCTATGTCCACCTAAATCTACTTTTCTCCAAACTATTTTGAAAAGATTCATGTGATTTATATTATTTTGGTGTTGAAATCTCCTTGTTTTGCCATTGTATGCTATCCATTATTCATGAAGTCTGTTTTGTTTCGAAACCATGGTGGCCTGGATAGCACAACTTGTGTCAATATTGGTTTATAAAATCTACTTCTGTGTATATATAAGCTATTTACTGAGAAAATGTGTTTTGGTGTTGAGTTTGGAGATTTTTGGAAAGTGTTATGTTCTGCAAAATCGTCTAAAAACTTTGGTTCTGGAACTTTGACTAGTCTTCACGAGGCTGGCCACGGGTCTGCGAGACCCGTGACCAATCCTGTGAGAAGGTCAGTGGGTGATGGGCTGGTGAAGCTCGCCATACCACCCTGAGATGTTAACAGGGCATGGTGGTGACCCGTGAGGTTCATGAGTCCCATAGGGATAGCCATGATCGGATCTATATTCACAATGTTTGAACTTTATATTTATAACTAGTATTTTTTATGAGCGATGAGTAAATAATAAGTGTCCAATATTAGTATTTTATATTAGTTATAACGGTAGGGGTATGTTTGTCCAAAATATTGTAAAGTACAACCTTTATAGCATAATGTATAAAAAAAACTTAACGGAAAAACGGACATAAATGAAGGGTATAACCTTCATTCACACTTATTATGTTTTTAGATTTTGAATATTACATTCATAATTTAGTATATACAGTACAAAAAGAATATAATTTTTTTTTTGAATGCTACTGGTTCTATTACATTGTAGTATCTGTTCATATACTTTCTCAACCTATTGAAACACAAAGAACCAATAACGTCTCCACTAAGACTCAAAATCACAACCTTCCAAATGGAAGTCCAACCCGAGTACCATTAGACCACATAGTCTTGGTCAAAAAGAATATAATTTAGTATATTAAAAATGTACATTTTATTATGGTCCACATAACACTATGTATAGACCATGGTCCACACAATAATTCGCCCTATAATGGGTAGAAAAAATGATGGTCAATTTTTTTAATCAAATGAATGGCTCAGATTGATCAGATTTTAATTTTTTCTTAAGATTTCCTAATTTATCCTTAATGAATATGATTATCCGTTAACTTTTTCGTTAAATATTATCTTTTCCATTAATTTATGTTAGTGCAATGTTAACTTACTCATTGATTTCAATAAGAAAGGTCTTAGGTTCGAACCACATCGCAATCAAAGTTGGCATAATCAATACTCTATTTTACTCTTATTAAATTATACTAGTTTTTTTACGCGTTTTGCGCGAATGTGATAATGCCCAATAATTATTTTATAATAAGTATTTCAAAGTATATCAATGCAATATTATATAGGAGATGTTCATGCATAGGTAATTTAAAGCATATAAATGCAAGATAATATATGAGAGATTGATTATAATTGTCACTAAAATAAATGTTTGTAACTTTGTAATAACGCTAGTCTAAATACTTAGTCTTAAAGCGATAGTCTAAATAAATACTACTTTTGATTTAAATTTCTCTATTTCTCTAAAATAAATGTTTGTAACTTTGTAATAACGCTAGTCTAAATACTTAGTCTTAAAGCGATAGTCTAAATAAATACTTAATTCTCTTTTGGGTAGCATTGTCATTATTTTCATCTTCAGTACATGTCATCTTTTTTTTTTTTTTTTTTTTTTTTTTTTTTTTTTTTTTAATTTATTGGTAGTGTCATGTGCAATTAGATTATTGGTGGCAGCATAGAGGGATTTATCATGCAATGAGATTATGGTGTAGGAAGCTTTAGATTTGCCTTGCTGTGTATATGACTGGGATTTTAGTTGTAATATGAACTCTTTATTATATTTGTATAAAATACTTGGTAAATAAATATACATAACATGTTTTGTATTATAACTTTGATATTTAATTACAAGATAATGTAAATAGAAGATAATGAACAATGTAGTGAATATAATAAATTAATAAATTTGAAGGTAAGGAATCTTTGAATTGTAGAAAATAAAGATAATATAACTAATGAAATTATATTTCTTTTAATTTTTTTTATAATGAATAATTTTTTTAAAATAAAACATTATAGACATCTAATTCTAAATTAATTAAATGTATATGTATTATTTTTTGTTGTTACTAATTTGTTTAATTTAATAAGAGTAATAAAGTGTCGTACATACTTTTCATCAACAATAATGAAATAAATATATATATTTTTTTTAAAAATTTCATTCCTTGTTGAGACAAATTGTTTTGAGAATGTGTCCATGACGATTGCTACAATTGTTGTTAATAGAGGATGATAATAAATAATTCAAAATATATGGTTACAATAGATATTAATATAATGATATAGTAAAAATTAACTTACAAATTTCTTTAGAAGTTTTCATGCATTGATAAAATTTTGATGTGTAAACTTGTTAAATTGGAGCTGGTAGGATGTTAACATTGTCAATTATTTGAAAAATGATCTTACCATTTTAGAGTCCATGTGCAATTGTATTTATGATTAAAAACTTTGTAATTAGGCCGCTGCTGTTCGCATTCAATATTTACTTTTTATTTGTTTGTAATGCAATAATTTATTTATAATTTATAAAATTATATTTTTGTAAGAAAATTATAAATAATGTATTAATAGAAGTTATGGAATATTTGTAAGGGTGTATTCAATTTAGAGTTACTTTTGTAGATTTTTTAATATAAAAAAGTTTTTAAAAGTTTATAAATGTTCTACGAATTTTTATAGGCTCTTACAAAGTTGATGAATTTTTAAAAAATTCTAGGAAAATTTACAAAAATTCTACAAAAATTATTTAAAATCCATCATTTTAAAAGTCTTTAAAAACCTTGATTGAATACACCTTCCTAAATAGCTTAGCTTAAGCTGTGATTTTGGTGTTCCCTATTTTAGATTTACCGACCACCTATATTTCTAATTCCAGTTGATATCATTCATCTTCATCTTCCTTATGCTAACCTTCACTCTAACAAACTCAGAAAACAACTCTCCTTTCCATTACACCTACAAAGACCTAAGCTAGCTAGAGACAGAGAGAAGAATGGCTTGTGTGGTTGTACTTTCTCTTATGAGGACGCTAGAGCTTGAGTTCTTGCAATCTCTGCCTCGTCCAATTCTACAACAAAACCAACTTATCCCCTGCAACAAAGACTTGGTCCTATCTCTCCACAAGAAGCTTGGAATTCTTATGGAACTATTCGATGAGAATAGAATGGATGGTGTTGAAGCAATAAAAGACTTGGAAACAAAGCTCAGAGATGTAGTGAACATGATTGAGGATGAAATTGAACTCCAAGTACTACATCTTTATGAGGAAGAAAGAGAGGAAGAAGAAGAGGAATTCAGAATTTTTGCAGGAATTTTTGATATTTTTGACAGATTTGTGGATCAGTCATTTCGGCCACCGGAAAATCACATTTACGTGGAAATGCCACAAGGGAATGCCGGTGAGAAAAGCAGTACTCATCATTGCCAGAGGCTTCATCAAATTTTGCATCCGCTAAGGGGAAAATCACATCCTTGTTTCAAATTTCATCGTATTTTGCATCGAGCTGTACAAGACATTGATGCCATCACTAAAGAGTTGGCGAAAGCAAAGGAGGAGTACCAGCTTTTCAAACATCATCTACAAGCAGGAACGAAGCAGCCTGCCTCCCTTCATGTTTTACCAATACCTACTCATCAAGGTATCGCCATGCCTGATTCTTCCCACACTGCTTCACACATCAAGGAAATAATGGTTGGAAAACAGGTTGAATTCGAGATTATAAAGGAGAAGCTAATCCAACATCCTTCTAAGCAGCGAGAAGTTGTCTCAATTAAAGGTATGGGAGGTATTGGTAAGACAACATTAGCAAAGAAAATTTATGAAGATCCATCAATCACTGACCACTTTGATAGGCGAGCATGGACTGTCGCATCACAACATCAGAGTAAGACGCAAATGCTTTTAGATCTTCTTGGTTACAAAGACGATGCAGACAAAAGCAGTGATGACGACCCAGCATTACGACACAACAAGAGCAAATGGAGGGTTGATGACCTAGCATTACAACTCTACCAAAGTTTCAAGTGTCGAAGGTACTTGGTTGTGATAGATGACGTATGGAGTGTAGAGGCATGGGATGCTCTCAAAACTTGCTTACCCGATGATGGAAATGGTAGTCGAGTATTGTTGACTACTCGCCTTGCTGAGGTGGCTAATCATATCTGCACCCAAAATGACTTTTCTCATCAAATGCAATTGTTAGAACAAAGTGAGAGTTGGAAACTATTTAATGAAAAGGCATGTAAATTTCGCGGTGCTGAATTTGAAACGATTGGGAGACCGGTAGTTGAAAAGTGCAAAGGACTGCCTTTGACAATTATTGTGGTTGCAAGCTTTTTTTCCAAACTCAACACTCTAGATGAGTGGAAGAATGCTGTGAATGCTCTAAGTTCTTCTTCTGCAACTACTCTAGATGATGAAGAATGTTCGAGAATATTCTTATTGAGTTACAATCATTTGCCCCACAACTTGAAAGCTTGTTTCTTATACTTGGGAGTTTTTCCAGAAGATCACAAGATCCAAGCTAATATTCTTGCAAAGTTATGGCTTGCTGAAGGACTCATAAAGACACTTGAGAATGGAAGCTTTGATGCAGTGGCTAACGAGTACATACAAGAACTTATGGATAGAAACCTAATAATTTTAAACGAGAAAAGCTATTGTGGAAGAAAAATTAATAGCTTTAGGATGCATGATTTATTGCATGCTTTTTGTGTGAGAGAAGCTCAAAAGGAGAACCTTTTGCATGTTGTCAAGAGTGAAAATAGTTCTTATTTTCCTCAAAAGGGTTTTCGCTGGGTAAGCATCCAATCTGTAGATTTTAACATGTCTACAATACAACATTATACTTTGAAAAGCTATAGATCCATCTTCAGTTTTTTGCAGAGGATACCATTTTCAAATTTTAAAAAGCGCAATCTAGTAAGAGTACTATTCTGTGTTGATATGAGTGTCAGGATAATAAATATTGTGGATATTGTCCATTTGAGATTCGTAAGAGTTAGAAATGATATAGAACTGTCCAGGGCTCAGGGATTCCGAAAGTCAAGATGTAGAGGAAGTTTAGAATTGTCAAGGTCTTGGAATCTTCAAACACTTTATTGTTGGGGAAGTGTATTATATGGATTTGATGGAGGAAATTATTCGGACTTTCCAGAACTACACTATATTTGTTGCAAGGACGATTTTCGTGGAAATCCTCCCAAATTTGTGCAAACCTTTTATCAGATCAGAGCTGAAGATTGCTTAGAAGAATACCTTACCAATATTCCATGCTTGAAGACGGTACATATTGTATGCGAAGGCAACGAGAGTAATACTTACATTGCGAACTTAGCATATTTAGAGCAGCTCGAAGGACTTTGGATTACAGGTAGATGTGAAACACATATTCCAATTACTAATGATATTGTTCTCTTGAAAAACCTTAGAGTGTTGGCATTAATTGGTATGGGATTTGAGTGGGAGAAAATTAATACTCTTAGCAAGTTGCCTAGGCTAGAGGTGCTCCAGTTACTAGGGAAGTCATGCCTAGGCGAAGAATGGAAAATACAAGAGGAAGTGATATTTTGCCAATTAATTGCTTTACTTTTCATTGATTGTGATCTCAAGCATTGGAAAGCCAGTAGTCATAATTTCCCAAAACTTGAGCACCTATATCTTTGGCAGTGCCATAGATTGAGAGAGATCCCAATTGACTTTGCTGAAATTTCAACATTGAAGTCAATCAATTTAAGGAAGTGTCTTCCTTCTGCTGTGGAATTAGCCAAGAAAATTCAGGATGAGCAACGTGACTATGGAAACACCGATATGGTTGTTATTGAGGAATATACATTGCAAGTATGTCACCCTTTCTCTTTCTGAATTGTATTTTTTCAACTTGTGCCAAGCAGATTTAATTAAATTCAGTGACTCATGACAGGTTTCGAAATCTGAGAAAAGCCTGAGTGAAGAAGAACCAGAAGTGGATAGCTGATAATTGATACCTTGTATTCACTCTTAGGCAAAAGACAACAATGGTATGTTTTCAAGAACACAGAATTGTAATTACATACATACTTACAGGACTGTATTTGCAGTTTGATTCATGCATTTGTCACAGGACATGCAACAACATTATTTTACAATAAGAAGAGACATGCAACAACATTATTTTACAATAAGAAGATGTTTTAATTACATAGATAATTTTCAGTGTTGGTCTGCATAGAGGGAGCCAATATGTAATAATAATGCTAGTTTTCATAGTCTGCAAATTTTGCCTAAACGAAATCCATCATTATATTCAAGCACATTCCTAAATGACTTTAGGTAATGTCGGGGAGCTTTAATTTCTATGTGTTTTTATGATTCTGAAGTGGTTAAGGCTTATTAAAAACTATTATTGCATTTTTTAGACGGATGGATGCCTCATTCTGCTGGAAGTGGCTTCATTCCACACACTATCACTGTGGCGACAGGAGAAGTATGTGATCTACTTTTTAGTCTCTATCTCTAATTGACTCATTATCTAAAATAAACCAGTCCATGTATGTGTATTTAATTTGCCTATATCTTCTGTCTCTCTTATGATCTTATGGTTAAACACAAGCTGTTTGTGCATTATCAGTGTTGATATCTGTATGTTATCCATCTATAGAGACATATGAAATTGTGCATCATTATATTGCGATCTAGTGCAGGACAGACATCACAACAAATTAAAGATAATGTCAAGTTATTTTTGCAAAAACTCAAAAAGCTAAGATAGGCCCCGAGGTTGTATGCATCTTGTCTGCTAACTGGCTAGCTGTCGTAGGCCCCCAAATTAAACCCTTACAAACGTAATAACCAGAGTAAGGATTGTTCCCACAAGTAGTAACTAGTTTAATTTTTGTGCTTAAGGAAATGGTGGAGATTTGGAATATAACGAAAATAAGAATTAAATAAAAGAAAAATCATGAAGAACAAAATATTGAAAGCATTTAGAATAGAAAACCTTGGTTAGTCAATATTCACTATCGAAATTAGCACATGTGGTTTAATTACTCTTAACTACTAAATAATCTAAGACAAGTGCTATAGATTTGATATAGTAGCAATAATAGAAATTAGGAAAACCGACAAACTAAATAACACAAGCACAAGCGGTTGCATTTAATTTAAGAAAATATTCTACATGAGACCAATTATCACTAACGCCGTTAATAATTAATTTCAGTCGCTACAACTGAAATTAGAATAACTTGTAGCGAAAATCATTATCTAATATAGCAAATAATTATATCAAATAAATAATTAGTAAGTCTCCCTAGCAATTAAATGATACAACTATTAAAATAATTCAGAAAAATATTCAGTACGCAAATGCATAAAAATTATATAACAAAAATAAATGAATTTAATAATCTCATAGTAGAATCAATTCCAGGACTTCAATTTACTAAACCAAGCTAAAGAAAATTAGTCATGCATAACAGCTTCAAAAAATTTAGATATTCAAGAGGAAGAATGGTTCCCCCTTAATGCTACTGCCATCATCTATCTATACTACTTGGACTAACAAACTCTATAATTCATTGCATCCTCATGTCAATTGTAATCCATTCATATTAATCCAAAAGTTTAGCAACAAATTGAAAAACTCTGCAACCGATCCTTACAAATTAGGCAAATTATTGTGTGGACCATGGTCCACACAGTGTTATGTGGATCATAACAAAAAGTACATTTTTAATATACTAAATGTACATTATTTATGTACTGAATGTACATTATACAATATAATGTACACTCAGTACAAAAATAATGTACATCCCCTAAATACAGTGTACATTACTTTTGTACTGAATGTACATTATTTTACAAGATACAAAATATGGTCCATACAACTTGTGTGGACCATGGTCCACAGAATAATGATTGAGTCCGACAAATTATTGTGTGGACCAAGTACATTTTTAATATACTAAAAGTATATTATTTTATACTGAATGTACATTATTTAATAATATATAAAATAATATACTTTCAGTATACAAATAATGTACTTTCAAATATTGTACGTTATGTACACAAATAATATACTTTTAATATATTAAAAACGTACTTTTTATTTGTAGTCCACACAGTTGTATGGATCATGGTCCATGTAATAATGTTTGTAAGAGTCCATAGTGGGCTCATCACAAGGCCCATCACTACATCCTTAAAGCATATTGGTGGAAGAAACAAGAAAGTCCAATAAGAACTCCATTTGATTGAGAAAAGTATTATAGTGGTCCGTTTCAAGTGATATCACGAATCAAAGACAATGCTTAATACAATGTCTCTTCTACTTTCAATGTTTCAGACTTGTCCCCGTATGATTGTACAGATTCGAGGTTAAATCATTTTCAAGAATGGGAAGATGATGTGACCCAGCCTATTGAAGATCCATTAAGAGTACTAATTGGGGCCAATCATAAGGTTCAAGTCTAAACAATTAAGACAAACTCTTCATTGTAGAAGAACTCAATGCTTTTATTTATTTATTTATTTATTTTTATAATTGTTTACGTGTTTATTTTGGGGATTAAATTAGGCTCAAATTAGCCCTATTATTTTTGCACATCATTAATTTAAAATGTTTGGCATGAAAGAAAAAACACTAGTTTGTATTTAGAAAGATTCCTTAAATTCCTTTCCAAATAAAACTATCTTTACTTACTTTTTAGATTAGGTTTATGATATTTTTTCCCCATTGTATTTAGGACTACAATGATGCACTCATACCTATAAATAGGTCACAACCATAGTAGCTTTAATTACGCTTTCATTCAATAAATTAAAACCCCTAAGTTTTTCTTTACACTTGTGTACAAAACCTTATTGCAAATTGTGGACTCAATTATGGACTAGTTCGTCGACTCGACTAGCAAATTGATTCGTGGACTTGAATCATTCTTCCTCTCTTCAACCTTAGATTTAGGTTCGTGGACTCGTTCTTGAATCGAAAGAAACTAGATTCGACTCTAATTGATTGAAGATTACATCATCGAGATACTTGAAGTTACAACGGGATTCTTCTAAGTCTTTGAGGATTTGACACTAAGGGTTTCACGTGAGATCTAAGGTACTTTGATCCATTTCTATCCTTGCAGTGAGAGCTATCTTGAGACAATACCCTATTTTATTTGAACCTAGAACTAGGTTCATATCACTTAGCGTAGTCACGACTGAAGACAGTAATGTGGGGATTCGAATTCGATCAAAAACATGAATGGAAAGGTCCAAGATGATGGAAGGTGTAGATTGGATCCCTTGTTTGTGCATGAAGACTAGGATTCGACCGGTAAGCTTATTGTGCGACTCGCGATTTATCTTTGTAGTGGCTCTAGAAGCAGGTCCTATGAATTTAGAATTAGCCCAACAAAGCGGGTATGACCTAAGCATTATTTAAAAAAAAAAAAAAAAGTTGCTAGAGGTAAACGTGTAAAGATTTAAGTGGAGTCAAATGTATGCATTATCACAGGTAGTTAGATGTTAGCATGATTAATCATGAAACATTTATATATTCAGCCAGGTATTAGTTCAAAATCATAAACAAATCAAGTTAATCTTAAATATGGTTTCGTATAATGTGAAGATATAGTTGCCCAGGCCACGTCCCACGTTGTGGGCATTCTTGAAACTAAACCTAGCTTAGCTTAGCTTAGATTAATTTATTTGTAATGGTTGAGCATTGACTAAAGGAACAATTGAGAAACAATAAAATACTCCAAAATTATATTTGCAGGTGTACAATATATGTCATCACTAAGGACAGGATCGACTGATCATGTTGAATCTAGACGGTGAATAAGGGGTTCGGAGTGGTGGAGGTGGCCTCATCGGACGTGCTGCCGGCGGCGGTGGCGGTGGACTCGATCACTGCCGGCGAACACGGCGCCCAGAAGTCCTTGGCCTCGGAGGAGCGGGATGAGCTAGGTACGCCAGAAGAGATAGTTTCGTGTCGTCAATTTGATCGACACGAAATGGTGCGCGGAAGAGAAGTGGTTCTGGGTGGTTGCCGGCGTCGGTGCATTCTGATGAGTTCGTTGCCATCGGTGATTTGGGACAAAAAAAAAAAAAAAAAAAAAAAAAAAAAAGAAACCTGACGCTAATCTGATACCAAATGAAGGAGTCTGTTTTGAATTGATAACAATAATTGAGAGATTACAATAATAGAAATAAATAGATATCATATACGGTAGGCTATTGACTAGGAAAGTATTAAAACCAGTTACATGCATACCTAATATATCTAACAATATGTAATAATGTATTATATAAATGTATATATTTAATTAATTATAATTTTTATCTATCAATAAATATATATTTAAATAAATTTTAAGTAGGGGTACGTGTGCATTCAATTAATCAGTCAATTAATCGAATTGAATTAATCAAAATTTCTAACGAGGAATAATTCACACCTTTCGTTATCCTGAATCATTTTTCGATTTATGTTTTAGTAAGAATTAAACTCCCGCACAACTTAATTAATCAAAGCCACCAGGACTATGTGGTCTAATGGTATCCGGGTTGGACTTCCATTTGGAAGATTGTGATTTCGAGCCTCAGTGGAGGCGTTATTGACTTTTTGTGTTTCAGTAGGTTGAGAAAGTATATGAACAGATACTACATTGTAATAGAGCTAGTAGCATTCAAAAAAAAAATAATAATAATAATTAATCAAAGCCAATCCACACCTATCTACCTAATAGAGCCACCCAACCTCCTAGGCTCGATATTTTGATCTTATTTATAAGTATTCAAGTCTCAGCGTGCTTATGTGCCATGATCAATAATAAAATCTCTTTGTGTGCAGTAAGCAAAGGTCTAGCCTCTGTTGTTCATGTTCAGTTGAGTTACCATGATTTACATCCCCCCAAATGCTCTATCGCGTCGGAGTGTGGGGGCTCTTAGGGTTGAGGTTCAATCTTTTGGAAGAATGATCAATAATAAAATCTACTGTTTACTCTTTCTACATAATGTGAACATTAATC